GTTTTTTTTTTTTTTTTTTTTTTTGGTGGCTGGCCAGTGTGGGGAACTGAACCCTTGACCTTGGTGTTACAAGGTTGTGCTCTAACCATCTGAGCTAACTGGCCAACCCATATTATGACACATTTTAAATCCAGGATAATTTCTTTACCTCTACCATCAACAGCTGATGTTTGCTTAAGGCATGCAAATTAATCTTAATGTCAGCATTACTAGCTAAAGTAATTTTAGGAAGAAAACCTGTAAATACATTATTCTAAAGTAATGTATCAGTTGTTGGATGACTAGCTCTAAGAACTATGTAACTGAAAAGATCTGAGGCAAGTCACACAGTCTTAAGGCTTAGAATAGCACTTCTGACCACAGAGTTGACTATGTTATAGAAACCCATTTTAGAGGTATCTCATGCCACATCAGACCTGCATTACAAGATATTGATACAGTCACTGAGATTCCTTATATACTGTTGATTCAGTTCTATAAACATATTTATTGTCTACTTTTTGTAAGCTATAGTAATAAGGATTGTGTGGAATTCACAAGGTCTTGGCCCTCAGGAAACTTTAGACCTGTCCCACCAAGCCCCATAGAAGTTGGTAGTGTAAATGGCTCCAGTGACTACTTCCTGTCCAAGTTCTCTTATGCTAATGAAATTTTCAAATGACAACATCTGGGAAGTACAGTTTTTGAGAGGCAAAATTGGGATCCGTGAAGACTTTGACAGGCTGGAATGGTGGACTGGATTTAAGAAAATATATTATGACAGATCCTCACAAGTACAGTATTAGAGTATGTGGCTAGAATATAATAACAGTATGTATAGAAAAATTTTAAGAATATGTAAATGCAGTATGAATCAGCTGCAAAATAGTTATGTTGTATTAATTGAAAGGGTTTGAAAAGGGAGGTCCAACCATAGTATTTTATTCATTTCTGGGCACTCTTTAAAAATGATACAGAAAAACTAAAATAGTTTCAGTACAGAAGGCTAGAATAGTTTTAGAATGGTGAAGGTTCTTGAAACTAAGTTATAACTGGGAATTGTTAGCTTGATGATCACCATATGGAATTCTCAGGAGAGAACACTTTAGCCATCTTTAGATAATTGAAGAGCTACTTTGTGAAGGAAGAATTAATGTGACTTGTTTTTAATAGCCTCAGAGAAGAGTTAAAGTCAGTGAGTATGTGAGAGGTATGCAAATTTCACTTTAATGTAAGAAAGCGTTTACTAATAGTCATCTGCAGATTGAATGTGCTGACCAAGGAAGCAGCATGTTCTCCAGCATGAGCGGTTCCTCAGGTGAAGACTAAAATCAAACCATATTTTGGAGTATTTTGGTGGTTGGATGGACTGATCCTTCCAACTGTGAGATGCCATGTTGGAATTCTTCCTTCTTGGTGCCTCGTCCTTTCTGCAACTTAGTCACAGCCTCTGTGCTTTCTCTTGATCTGTGTCTTTGATATCCTTAGAGTTTATGCCATGTCAAGACCTATAGAATTTTTCAATTACTTTCCTCCCCTTTATTTCCTGAGGAAATCCAGAGTTTTCTTTATCTCCAAATTTGATTTCAGGAATCACTTTTTTCTTGCTCTTTGATGAGAGGCAATCAAATAAAAAAATGCTTAAAGTAGCAAAACCTAAACTGCATTTATTAGCGGGGACAGTGGGCAAAATTAAGGCATGCATGACCTTTAACAACTAATCTTCTTAGGCTAAAAGATTAAAAGTAGGGCATGAAGACTGTATTCTCTTGATCAGAGGTTGGCAGACTATTTCAGTAAAGGGCCAGATAGTAAATATTTCAGACTTTGCCAACTGTGCAGTCTCTGTCACAGCTACTCAACCCTGCCATCGTAGCACGAAAGCAGCATAGAGAATGAGCATGGCTGTGTTCCAGTAAACCACTTACAGCAAGCGGTGGGCCAGATCCGCCTTGCAGGTTGAGTTTGCTGGTCCGTTCTCTTGATTGTTAGGAATTGAATCCAGGAGTAGGTTGCCACCTCATATTGATTTGGGATTATCTTTGTCACTTTTATGCTTTTAATTTACTTTCTATCCAAACCTTAAAAGAGTTACTTTCTTTCCCTTCACCCCACTTGGGCACAGAAGGTATGATAATAGTTCTAACTTTTCTTTGGGAAGTAGAGGCAATCTTCAGATATTAGCCAGCAAAGGAAGGCCACACTTCAGAGCAGTGAGCTGATGCATACCATTTAATTAGTAAATAGAAATAATACATTTTAAGATGTCAAGGTAAATATTTCCTAATTGGCAGTAATTGCCTTGACTTTTTCAGCTTGAAGAATAGTTACTAATAGTATATTAATATTGTTTTGGTTTTAAAATAATTTTAAAAGTCATTCTTTGTTTCTGGAAATCAGGATGTTATGCTCTTGGAATCTTACTATTTTTTTAGTTATATAATGGGCTGGCTCTAAAAGTTCGTATCTCGTTTATCTCAGGCACTCTTATATCTTCATTTAGACATATTAAATAGTTTAATGGGAAGAAATAGTTTATAATATGTGGTTAAAAATCTCTGTGTATGTTTAGTAAAAGTATAAGGTAAATTGTATCTAATCTTCTCAAGCAACATTCTTAACCTACAGACCATGTATCTGCCCATGAATAATTATGAAGAGGGGCTTAAGCTCCATGAAATTTAATGCACATTCTTTGATTCATTTGTACATTTCTGAGGAAAGTGGATCCAAATATTGTCAAATTCTCAATGGGATCCATGACTCAAAAAAAGTTAACCATAACCAACCATAAAATAACTCCTTGCATCTCTCTAAGTTTAGAGAATATCACTCCTGCCGCGGGTTCGGATCCTATATAGGAATGGCCGGTGCGCTCACTGGCTGAGCGTGGGGCGGGCGACCACACACCAAGGGTTGCGATTCCCTTACCAGTCACGAAAGAGACAAAAAAAAAAAAAAGTACTGTGTTTCTTTTGAGTTTTACTGTTTACACTCATTGTTCACCTTAGTTTTTTGCATAAGTGCCCTGCTGAAAGACGTTCATGTTTCCTAGCCTAGATAGTTTCAAGAGTGAGTTCAGGTATAAATCTGAGTAATTTCTGAGGGCACTTGGATCTTTCAGGAAGGGTGAGTGTCATTCTGGTTGAGAACTTAAGCAGCTTTTGATCTACTTAACCCCTGACATAAGCTCATAACTAAGTTGACTGACAGCCAAGTAGTTTCAATTTCACAATCTCTTCAGATCAGGTCTGATTTGGGATGTTTAGGAATCAGAGTATCCTTTTAATTCTTTTGGTCTTCTGTTTGCCAGCCACATTTTGGCCATACCAGGTAGATATAACAGCAGCGTAGTAACTGGGTACCATTGGAGTTATATGCTATAATAAAATAATTCAAAATATTTTAAGGCTATTACATTCATTTTATAGTCAGTATTTTTTTTTATTGTACCCATACATGATAATTGTAGGAAAAACAGAATTAAAAGATCAGAAAATTAAAATCGTTCATTATCTCACTACTAAGAAATAACTATGGTTAACTTTTTTTTTTCTTTTTTACTATGGTTAACATTTTAAAGATATATACCTCGAAATATTTAAATGTGATGTATATATTTCACAAATAAAAATGAAATGACACTGCTTTTTAAAACTAAAAAATTATTAGTATCTTTCAGCAACACATTATAAACAATAATTAAATTGCAAGAAGTATCATCAGTGTATTTATTCGATCCGCTGTTGGACATTTAGATTGTTGCTAATTTTCACTGTCATAATAAATGCTGTGGTAAACAGTCTTATAAGTAAATATTTGCAGTCATCTTTCCTTATTTCTTTGGGATAATACCCAAAAAGTGGAAGTGTGGGTCAAAGGACAGGCATAAATTTTAAAGTTTTTAGTACGTTTGCAAAATGGACTTCCAGAAAGTTGGTAACAATTTCTACTCTTACAGTGTTAAGTGTGTTGAATTATTGTTTTTGTTCATAATATAGGCAGAAAAAGAAATATCTGCCTATTTCAGAGGCAGGTTGCTCTGAGAATCCTGTAATGTGCAAATATCAGTGATTAACAAGTCATCTCAAGTTTGCAACATAATTGTCTCTGGGGAAAAAAATGAAAGGATTGTAACCAGCCGTGATTGAAAAAGGACGTAAAGATTTCTTTTAACTAATAGGAACCATTCTGAAGACTAGGAGGTCACAGGCTTAAATAGTCTAGTCTACAGTAGTGATTCTCAGACTTTTTTTTTTTTTTGTCTTTTGTCTTTTTCCATGTCTGGCAACGGATCGCAACCTTCAGTGTTGCCCCCGTACCGGACCGGGGACCGGCAACGGGATCGCAACCCTCGGCATCACTCCCGCGCCTCGCTCAGCCAGTGAGCGGGAACCGGTCTGTATGTGGGATCCGAACCCTCGGGCGGGAGCACCGCTGCACTTCCCAAGCGGCGCACTATCCAGTGCGCCACCAGGCCGGCCCCCAGACTTTTATATATATCAGAATCACCTGAGGAAGCTTGTTAAATTTTCAGGTTTTGAGGTCCCACTAACGGCAGATGTGTGGAGACCACACTGAGAAACACCAAATTAGAGTAAACACATTAATTAAATTTTTTCAAACCTTAAAGAGTGGTACAGTATATAATCCTATATCTGGCAGCTGGCCTGTTTTACAGAAGAAAAGCCCAGAGTATCTGACACTAAGAAAATATTTAGAGTGAATTTGTTATTTAGACCACTGTTAAATAGCAACCACAGTGATAATAATGATAATAGTTGTTGTTATTATAGTTAATGATTGTTATTCATTTTAAGTAAAATATCAGTTGTAGTGCAATTTGCATTTCTTTTAAACTTATTAATCTGCTTCCTCCCATTTATTTTTTTTTCATAATCATTAATTTATATTGTTTTAATTATGGTCTTCATTGACTGGATTTGTGCTTTATTCTATCTTTTTCATAAGTCTATAACTGAGGATGACCTGTTTGTAGCTATTTTACATATATTCCCAGACACATCATTATCCTGGTGACAGGTCCAGAGTTACAAACATGAAATATGAATTGGTAGGGACCTCTAGAAATCGTTGAGTCCAATGTTCTATCTTTAAGCAACTGAATAACTGATTGTACCATCTGGGACAAATGCCTGAATTAAACCACACACGGAGAATATGCGACATTTGCTGTAATTAATTTTGGCTGGATTTTAAGTTAGGCCATATAGAAGCAATCCTCTGTAATTCTGGAGCTGTGTGCAGGTAGATGATTGTAGGAGTTGACTATGCTTGGAATAGGATATGGCTGCTTAAGACATGAGATTTCTTGGTTGTCTGAATATGAACTTTCATTAATCCTTTTTCTATTTTCACATAACTATATTTGATTACACTATATTTTTAACATCTAGGAAGAAGTGGTGAAGTTAACTGAGAAATATCTTAATAATGCCATTGAGAGCCCAGGTTTGAATGCCATGAGAGTTCCTCCTGACTTTAAGAGTAACATTTTGAAGGCTCAAGTGGAAGCAGTGCACAAGGTAAATTTTTTTTTTTTTAACAGAGATAGGCCTGGTGAGGTGAAAAGGGTATGGACCTTCGCAAGTGATTAGAGATAGGTGTAATACCAAGACACAGGCTCAGGATGTGAAATACCTTCCCCAACTCTAAATTCTAATCAAGCTAGAGGGGACAGTCATGGGGCAAAAAGTGAGAGTGGAGACACTCTGGGGTATAAAAAACTAAAAAGCAAACAAACCCCAAAACAGCCAAATTCCTTTAAAAGTGAGTCCCTAATTTTTGCTACTTTTATAGCCAGAAAACCTAGTGAATTTTTTAGATTCCTTTCAATATTAAGTCTATGATTCCAGGTCTTTCTTTATCCATCCACTACTCCCCCTCACTTATGTACCTTCAATTTGGCAAAATTTTGAAGTTAATTAGCAACAAGAATTTAAAAGTGAGTCCCTAATTTTTGCTACTTTTATAGCCAGAAAACCTAGTGAATTTTTTAGGTTCCTTTCAATATTAAGTCTATGATTCCAGGTCTTTCTTTATCCATCCACTAATCCCCCTCACTTATGTACCTTCAATTTGGCAAAATTTTGAAGTTAATTAGCAACAAGAGTGAGCATTTAAAAAGTGTTGACTCTTGATAGTTGTAGCAGTAATAGTAGTAGTAATTATTTGCTATGGTCTTAATATTTGTATTCCCTGAAAATTCATATGTTGAAACCTAAAGCAATAATATTAATGGGTGGGGCCTTTGGAAAGTGATAGGGCAGAGCCCTCATAAATGGAATTAGTACTCTTATGAAAGAGCCCTCAGGGAATGTGTTTGCCCCTTGTGAAGATGCAGCAGGAAGGCAGCATCTGTAAGGAACAGGCCCTCACCCAACACTGAATCTGCCATCGCTTTTATCTTGGACTTCCCAGTCTCCAGAACTGTGAGAAATAAATATTTGTTATTCATAGGCCACCTAATTTACTATATATTTTACTACATATAATATATAATTTTACTATATATATAATTACATATTAATAATAATATATAATAATATATTATATAATTATATATTAATTATTATATATATAATTTACTATATAATTTACTTCATAGCAGCCCAAATGGGCTAAGACATCATTACCTTATATTTTAGTTATACTTTTGAATCTTTCTTAACTTGAAGAAGAGAGAAATAACCTGAATAGCTCTAAATTAAAGGGATTTGATTTTATAGTTGAAAAACCTTCTCATGAAGAAAAATCCAGGACCGGATTCCTTCATTGTCGAAATCTACCAAACATTTAAGAAAGAAATATTAACAGTTCTACACAAACTCTCTAAGGAAATAGAAGAGGAAGGAGCATTTCCCAATTCATTTTATGAGACTAGTGTTATCTCAACACCAAAACCAGAAAAAAATATTAGAAGAAACTACAGACCAATACTCCTACTGAATATAGGCATAAAAGTCCTTAACAAAATATAATCATACCATACTCGACAGTTTATGAATAGGATTGTACATCATGATCAAGTAGGATTTATTTCAGGAAAAAAGTTGGTTTGTCATTCAAACCAGTATAGTTCACCATATGAAAAAATACATAAAAATCATGGTGCTGATAACACCAAGATGTCCAGATTTGGATCCCCTTAACATTCAGCCACAAAAATAAGCAAATGAACAACAAATACATAAAACTGTCTCCATTCATGCCGAAAAGGCATTTCACAAAATTCAACACCTGTTCATGATAAAAACTCTCAGCAAACTAGGAACAGAATGGAATTTCTTCAGCTTGGTAATGGGCATCTGTGAAAGAAAATCCACAACTAACATAATACTTCATGGTGAAAGACACATCCACTGAAATAGTTAAAATTAAAGACTGACTATCTCTGTGTTGGTGATGATGGAGCTCCTGCAGTGAACATACATTGCTGGTAAGAATATAAAATGGTGTAAGCCCTTTAGAAAAGGGTTTACCAGTGTATTAAACATATGCTTACCATTTGACCCAGCAATTAAACTCTTAGGAATTTACCTAAGAGAAATGAAAACTTAGGTTCACACAGATATTAGTACACAACCCAAGTGTCCGTCAACAGGTAAGCAGATAAGTGGATACTGTGGTATATCCATATAATGGAATACTACTTGGTAAATTAGAAGGAATGAATTAGTGATATATACAACAATGTGGATGAATCTCAACATGCTGCTCTAAAGAGGCAGACACAAAAGATAGGTAGTATATGATTCCAATTACATGAAACTGTAGAAAGTAGCGATCTTTGTTTGCCACAAATAAGGCTTTTTGATGGGATGACATGGGAAGCCTCAGGGGAATATTTGGGGGGTGTGAGTAGTGGAAATGTACATATGTTGGTTCCGCACCTATATATGTTTTTCAAAATTTTTTGAACTATATATTTAAAATGGGTGCATTTTACTGTATGTAAATAATTCCTCAGTAAAGTTGAAGGAAAAGCTGGCTTCTTTAGAAATATTTTTTGGAATTTTTTCCTAAAATATTCTTTGCATTCAGGGAAAAATGAAAGCCAAGTACACAGTTTAACATGTTTCTCCTTTTTATCATGTAAATTCTAGAATTTCCGACATTGAATTTTTGTAGATTCTGTATATAGTGGGTAACACACTGTGGTGTCTTAATTAACTGAGAACTGTCTGGTGAGAGCATGTGAATTTGTATAGCGAACTTATTGAAGTTTAATCTTGGATCATTATTTCAGGTGTGGGATAGGCTTGTACTAGGGGCAGTATTAATATTTCCATAGGTAGGGTATGATTACATCTTATTTGAACTGAAAGAAATTTATAATTTTATTTTTACTGGAAATGAATGTAAATTTCTTGTATCCTTAACAAAGTTTTTAATTTTTTTGTTATTTCATTTTCTTAGGTTATGAGAGAAGATAGCTTATTAAGTCATAAAAATGCCAATTTTGAGGATACTGCCACAAACAGGTACAGATCTGGGTAGACTGAATTAAATTGATGTATTTCCATCATTTCCTGTTAACGCCCCTCCCCCCTTTTTTGTCTTTTCCCCCCTCTTCCGGGATATCTATTTCAAAGATAGCTTGAATTCACTATTTTTTATTTGTCACAGAGCTGCCCAGTACCTAGTTTTAGATTATTTGAAGATAGTCGTAATTTGTCTCCCTACATTCCCATTCATCTTCAACTGATTCAAACTGCAGAGCAAAAACCATCTTTAATGACATTTTAAATCTAATAAGGTACCTGATGAGGAATGTATATTATTTGTCTTGGATATTGTAGTTAACATTAGTGTCATCCTGTTGTCACAGTGGCCTTGTTCTTATAAACTTACTTACCATGGTTTTTCACATTAATTGAGCAAATTTCATTGCTGCTTTCTCCAAGTCTCTTCTGCCTCTCTTCTCTTTAATTTGTCTTGTTAGGCTTTTATTCCTTGGTCTATGCCAGTTTGTTTTGTTGTTCAATGTTTTGTGCTTAGTTGGTGCTAAAAAATGTTGAGCAAATGAGGGCTATTTCTATTCCCATTATTCAAAACTTATTCAGTAGAAGGTTTTCTGATTAATCATATTCAGCTCCAGATGCTATAATTAACAGCATTTAAGCACACAGCATGCTTTTTATATAAGACTTTACAGGTAGTACTCAACAAATGTACTACTTGGTGATCAGGGTAAAACTGGAATTACAACTTAACCTTTCAGTTAATTTCAATAAACATCAATACTAACATTTTTAGTACTATTGTTATTATTGTAATCTTTTAGAATAACCTCATCAAACTTTTTTTTTGCCAAGAAGGTAATAGGGGCAGGACTACCTCATGTTCATGAGAAGTTTCATTGAACTCTTGAAATTGGAAAGAGCCTAGAATGCATCCCAACTTACTTACAGGTTTATTTTTCTAAATGGCTGTTTATATTTTGAATAATTTTTCCCCTAGGATTTGACATGCATCCTTTGAGATATGCTAAGTTCTTACATAAACTTGGGTCTATTTCTGGATCTTTTCTGTTAATCTATTTTTCCTCCATGCCATACCAAACTGTTTTTGTTACTGTACCTCCTTTTTAAAAGTGAAATGTTTTAGGCATAGAGAAAACTGTGGAGAGTTATATAATACGTACCTTTATACCAAATATCAAGCTTGTCATATCTTAACATTTTACTATAGTAGCTTTAGATCATTTTTCTTTTATCTTTTTTAATTTAGATGTAATTCACATAGCACAAAATTCACCCTTTAAAAGTATACAATTCTGTCCAACACTTACTATTATCTCTCTCTCTCTCTTTTTTTTTTCCCATTTTACCTATCCTAGTGAGTATGAGGTAGTATCTGGTTTTGATTTGCATTTACCTAAGGACTAAAGGTGTTAAACATCTTTTCATGTATATGTCTTCTTTGGAGAAATGTCTATTCAGATCATTTGCTTTTGTAGTAACAGCTTTATTGATACATAATTCAAATACGATACAGTGAACTAAAGAATAAATGTACACCATTTAAAGTATACAATTCAATGGTTTTTGTATCTTTCACCATTTAAAAAGTGTATAAATCAATAGTTTTTAGTATATACACAGATATAGTATGTGCAAGCATCATCAGTATCTAATTCCAGAATATTTTCATCAATTCAAAAAGAAATCCCATACGCTTTAACTACTCTACTCCCCCTCTACTCTACTCTTTAACCCCCTCTACTTCCACCACCATTCCTGCCCCCCCCCCAACTTTGAGGAACCATACATTTACTTTTTGTCCCTAAAGATTTACCTATTCTGGAATTAAATGGAATATAAGTGAAATTCTGTAATAAGAGGTTTCTTGTGGGCTTACTTCTTTCACTTAGCGTAGTGTTTCAGGGGTCATCCACGTTGTAGTATGTATCAGGAGTATATTCCTTTTTATGGTTGTATAATACTCCATTATGTGGCTATACCACATTTGTTTATCTGTTCATCTGTTGGTAGACATTTAGTTTGTTTCCACACCTTGGCTCTTATGAATAGGGCTCCTATAAAATAGTCGTGTATAAATTTTTCTTCGAACATCTGTTTTCAATTATTTCAGGTATACATTTGGAGTTGAATTTCTGAGTCATATGGTAATTCTGTGTTTAACTTTTTAAGGAACTGCCAAACTGTTTTCCATAGCAGCTGAGCCATTTTCTATTCCTTCCAGCAGTATGTACGGGTTTCAATTTTTTCCACATCCTTTATTTTCCACTTTTGAAGTTGTATCTAATTGTGGTTTTGTTTTTTTTTTGTCTTTTTCCGTGTCTGGCAACGGATCGCAACCCTCAGTGTCGCCCCCGCACCGGACCGGGACCGGCAACAGGATCGCAACCCTCGGTGTTGCTCCCGCGCCCTGCTCAGCCAATGAGTGGGAACCGGTCTAGCACCGGGATCGCAACCCTCGGTGTTGCTCCCGCGCCCTGCTCAGCCAATGAGCGGGAACCGGTCTGTATGTGGGATCCGAACCCTCGGGCGGGAGCGCCGCTGCGCTTCCGAAGCGGCGCACTATCCAGTGCGCCACTGGGCCGGCCCTAATTGTGGTTTTGATGTACATTTCCCTAATGACTAAGGATGTTGGGCATTTTTTCATGTGTTTATTGGCCATTTGTATATTTTCTTTAGAGAAAAATGTCTATTCAAGTCCTTTGCCCATTTTTAATTGGGTTGTTTATCTTTTTGTTTTTGAGTTGTAAGAGTCCTTTGTTTATTCTTGCTACTAGACCCTTATCAGATATACGATATGCAGATATTTTCTCCCATTCTGTGGATTGTATTTTCACTTTCTTAATGGTGTCCTTCAACACATAAAAATTATTACTTTTAATGAAGTTCACTTTGTCTATTTTTTCTTTGGTTGCTTGTGCTTTTGGCATTTTATCCAAGCAACCATTGCCAAATCCAAGGTCATGAAGATTTATCCTTATGTTTTCTTTTAATGGTTGCATGGTTTTAGCTCTTACATTCAGTTCTTTTGTCCATTTTTGAGTTAATTTTTGTATATGATGTGAGGTAGGTGTCCAACTTTATTCTTTTGGTTGTGCATATCCAGTTGTCCCTATCCCATTTTTTTTTTTTTTTTTTTTTTTTTTTTTTTCC